TTAGTAAGGGCAATTTCGTCCCTTCAATTCAAAAAAGTCCTATTCAGGGTTTAAAAAGTTCGAAGTCTTGTTTACCTTCCCAGTTCTTGTTTTAGTCCTATGTAGGTCTATTTCCCTTATAAAGAGAAATGAAGTTAAAAAACAAATTGTAATTTTTTAATAACCTGAATGTAGCAAAGCTCGTCGTTGTCTAAGTAGAATATCATCAGACATGAAATTCCAACATTTCTCCCAAACGTATTCAGATCTACTCATTGTATCTGCTAATAACAATATGACAAATAGAACTTTCAGCCCCAATGCAGAAGCCCAAAAACTACTTTCTGTAAAACCTTTGATGTACTCTCTATCATCGTCCAAAACCCAATGCATAACATGTGTAACGATATGATTCATTACAAACCCCGTCAATAGTTCACAAATCGGCGAAAGACGTAGCACCACGCTTAAAATTGTGGATACATCGCAAATAAAAAGATTCTCCTGCTCTAGGAGGTTAGAGATTTTTTCTTTGAGGAAGAGCATGTTACTCTTCCTTCATTTGTCATTGAACATAATCAAGATATTTTTATTCCTAATGATGTTCAAGAAATTAAACAACTCCAGTTCAGGACAATCTCGAAAACATCCTCAATCTAGTAACTGAAATTATTAATTAGGATCAAACTCAACAATCTTAAGAACCTGAGGTGCCATTAAGGAGATCCACTTGAGAGAAGAGAAGTGCAATTCCGGATGATTATATTGTATTTCTCCAAGAACATGAGGAAAATTGAGAATTGGTGGAAGAAATAATTATCTTCCTCCAAGAACAAAAATCAGACGTTGGTTTTGCGGAAGATGATCCATGGAAAGTTCTAACTCTCAAGACTGAATTAATGCCATGAAAGATGAGATGAAGTCTATGAGTGACAATGACATTTGGGAGTTAGTCTCATTGTCTGAAGGTATTAAACCCATTGGTTGTAAATGGATATTTAAAATCAAGAGGGATTCAAAGGGCAATGTTATAAGGTTTAAAGCTCGTCTTGTTGCTAAAGGCTACACTCAAAAGAAAGGAATTGACTATAAAGAGACTTTCTCTTCGGTATCCTCGAAAGACTCTTTTAGAACAATAATGGCATTAGTGGCACATTTTAATCTTGAGCTTCATAAGATGGATGTAAAAACTGCATTTCTCAATAGTGACATTGAGGAATCAATATATAAGGAGCAACCAGAAAACTTTGTTTCAGGAGATTCAAAGAAAATGGTTTGCAAATTAAAGAAGTTCATTTTTGGGCTCAAGTAGGCTTCTCGTCAGTGGTATCACAAGTTTCATAAAGTCATTATATCTTTTGGTTTTCAACCAAATGTCAGTGATGATTGTATATACCACAAGTTAAGTGGGAGTAAGCATATTTTCCTAGTTTTGTATGTTGATGACATACTGCTTGCTAGCAACGTAATAGGCTTATTGCACACAACTAAGAGATTTCTTTGAAATAATTTTGAAATGAAAGATCTTGGTGAGGCTTCTTTTGTATTAGGAATTCAAATAAACCGAGATCGCTCCAAAGGTGTTCTTAGACTCTCACAAAAGAGCTATATCGATAAGGTTCTCAGAAGGTTTGGCATGCAAGACTGCAAACCATGAGATACTCCAGTTTTTAAGGGAGACAAGTTTAGTCTCATGCAGTGCCCTAAGAATGGTTTTGAATCTAAAGAAACGAGGAACATTCCTTATGTTTCGACTGTAGGAAGTTTGATGTATATATGCTCAGGTTTGTACAAGACCTGATTTAGCATACATTGTTGGGATGTTAGGCAGATATTTGAGCAATCCAGGAATGGACCACTGGAAACCAGCCAAATGGGTCATGAGGTATTTACAGAGAACAAAGGAATATATGCTCACATATCGGAGATCGGATCAACTTGAGATCATTGGGTATACCGACTCTGATTTTGCTGGATGTCAAGATAGCTTGAGATCCACTTCAGGCTACATATATATTCTAGCTGGAGGAGCTATCTCCTGGAGGAGTATCAAGCAGAATCTTACAGCTACTTCCACCATGGAAGCAAAGTTTATATCATGTTATGAGGCATCCAATCAAGCATTATGGCTACGAGATTTTGGTAGTGGACTGCACATAGTGGATAGCATTGAAAGACCACTTAAGCTATTGTGTGACAATAGGTCAGTAGTCCTCTATGCTAAGAACAACATTAGTTTGACCAAGGCAAAACACATTGGGCTCAAAATTAAGGCTGTTAAGGAACGAGTACAAGAAAGAAAGTTATCTATAGAACACATTAGCACAAACTCCATGATTGCGGATCCGCTCACTAAAGGATTGCCACCCAAAGTGTTTCATGAGCATGTTGCTCAAATGGGTGTCAAATCAGTTGAGGATTATGAGTTTTAGTGAGAGTTTGTAGTGTTTCTATATTTGGTTAATTCAATTTTTTAAGGTTATTTTCTGCAGAAATAAAGTTTAAAGTTTAAAGTTTTATGTACTCTTACAATTACATTATTGATCTCAAGGTGGACCGGTTGGAAATAGATATTCTATTCCAGACCACACTTCATGTTATTTCCACGCTACACACCTATACTTGATCCATGTCGTTTATTATATTAATATATGTGATCATTGATGGGTCTAGTTATGCGAATATAGCAAAGACTTCTTTGCTCCTAGGTTGATATAATTAATGGATCGGATTGATTAAAGATGACTACAGTTTGATAGCAAAATTTTGGAGCTCCTAAAGTAAACATACAATACTAAGGATTGTGTGTATACATGTGTATGTCGTCCAATTGGGAGATTGTTAGATTATTGGACTCATACTACATGTAATATTCACAGTATACTACCTCCGTCCCCTTGTTATTGTCCCATTGCGGTTTACAATGTTTGACTGACGATAAAGCAAACAGATCCCTGTCCGCACTAGATTTTTTTTTTAGATTTTTTTTGCATATTCAGAAACTACATTATAAGTTTTACAAAGTCGCAAAAACCAGAATCAAATTTGATAAAAAATTGATCAATAAAGTAAGAGATTAAGAGTGATTTGTGTTGACCAAATGAATAGGAAATGAGACAATAATAGGGGGACGGAGGGAGTATTATTTATCGGGTTTAATTGTATGTTATATGATATCTTATATTTAGGCCCAAAAATTAGTGGTCCTATGGATATTAATTTAAGTGGGCTAATATGTTATCTAATAAGGTATAGGGCCCAAATGTGTAGAGACCCATGGGCTTAACCTAATTAATGATGAGCTGATTAGGGTTAAGCATTCTTTATAAATAGAGGGGTTATGGTCCCTAGTTGAACACATTATTCCGTCTTTTTGCATCCCATCACTAAAGAGATAATTCCGAGGGTGTGTATCAACTAGAAGACGAAAACCTTAGCCTCCGTCTCCCGGATCTCTAAAGATCATCTCCAATGGAGTCAGGTACGCTTCCGCTCACTTATTGCTCTAGATAATTTCAATATGAAGATTAAAGTAGTCATGGATTTATTCCAACATCATATATATTTATTCTCCACCACTGATTTCATAAATTAGATGGCTAGATTTTATTCTCCTTTCTCTCTTGGAGCTCCTTTCTCACCGGAACCGCACCATATATATATATATATGTGTGTATGTATGTATGTATGTATGTATGTATGTATGTATGTATGTATGTATGTATGTATGTATGTATGTATGTATGTATGTATGTATGTATGTATGTATGTATGTATGTATGTATGTATGTATGTATGTATGTATGTTGTATGTATGTATGTATATAGGGGTGTGTTCAGGTGAGAAAGACCTCTTAGGAGAGAAAAAGAACAAAATCATACCATTGATTAATGTGATCGTGTGGCTTATATCAAGGCTTGGAATTTTAAAAAAAGCCCGCTGCACCTCACGTGTTTTGTTGGAGAAATGGAAAGAGTGCCACAATATATTTATTCAGGGGCATAATGGTGAACCACATTTAAGTGATTACCACGCACAAGCCACCATAATAGGAAGTAATCATAACAATTAGGAGAATAATTAATACGGAGTAATCTCCCTCATAATTATCACCATAAATAGTTTATCTTATGCTTGAAAAATTAAATAGTTTATCTTATTTATTTTCTTTCCAAATTTAAGGTCCTCTCACGTGTGACTTTTTTTTCAGATGCAAAATTTGTCGATTGCTCTTTAACGGTGAATCATTGCACTCTTATTTGATTTTTTTTGCAAATATTCATTTTAATAGTCACAAATATTATGTTTAACCAAATGTGCATTTATTGTAATTAAAATGTGCATTTTTTCAGTAAACGAAAACATTAATATGTGCAATAATTGCAATCTAGAAGTTCACTTTATTTTTATAATTGGAAGAATGTGATATTGAAATCTTATCAATATACACGTAGTATTTATATACTTATAATGCACCAAAATGGATTCGGAATGCATATTATCGATCTAATTAAGTATGTGCTGTTCTCATAGTTTTTTATTTAATTTAACATTTTTTTGTTTTGTTAAAATGCACATCTTGAACATTGAAGGTGCACATTTGATCTATTTAAAACTCATGATGTGCACATTTGCACTCTTGAAAAGATTTAAATATAACACCTTCAAATATAATGTGCATTTAAAATAATATAAATGTGCACTATTATTTCACTTTCTAAAATTCTAAACATACACTTTTTTACAAAATAAAATGCACTTTTATCATGTGCATTTAAATATACATAAAAGTGCACTAGTACTTCATACTATTCTAAAATTTTACATTGATACTTTTTACAAAATGATATGCACTTTCCTCACAAAAGCATCATAGTTTCCATTATGGCATTGTCTCCTGGTGCCTCTTTTATCTGCAAAAAAAGTAAAAAAATAAAATAATGAAAAGTGCAATACTATTGTAACTCAAATGCCAAAACTGTATCATTCATTAACATATAGCTATGTATATATACAAGGAGAAGGGAGCTAGGGTTATACTTGATATGGGCCAGAACATATGGGTTTGGGGATTAATGGACATCCACATATTACATAACACTCCCCCTTGGATGTAAATTGCTAAATAAAATATTACAAAAGGTGATCATTCTCTTTATATGCTTGAAAATGCTGCCTCGTTAAAAATCTTGCCGAGGAAAACCCAGTGGGACAAAACCTTGGTCAAGGGAAAAAGAGTGCAACATGTATGTACTCCCCCTGTTGACTGCATCACTTCAAGACTTCTTGTAGAATTCAATCCATTCAGGTCACCAACTTATTGTAGCACAGATTGTACGACGTGTATGCCTCATTAAAAACCTTGTTGAAAAAACCCTTTGAAAAAAAACCAATCAAGGAGACGAGTACATAATATATGTAAAACGATGTGTTAGATTGACTGCCTCATTAAAAACCTTTAACTAAGAAAACCATATGGGAAAAACTTAGTAAAGGAAAAGAGTACAGTCATGGCCTTCGGGGCCTAATCTTCTGGATTGCATTTGAATTTACTCTTCTAGAGAAAAATAATACTCCAAATTTTATGTATCATAATATGTTATTTCAAAGTCATAAACTGCCTCGTTAAAACCTTTGACCAAGAAAACCCTATGGGATAAAACTTGGTTAAGGAAAAAGAGTACAATTGCAAATGATCTCCCGAACCAATAAGCTGTTCGATCTCACAAGGACCAATTAAGACCTTCAGGGTACTATCTTTCAAATTAATATTAGAATCACTCTTCTAGAGGATAATAATCTTCTGGATGTTATGAATGTTTCTCATTCTTTAAAAAAACCACAAAATATCTTTAAATCTTTGGCCAAGAAAACCCTTTGGGAAAAACTTGGCTAAGAAAAAGGAATAACACATGGTCTTCTGGACCAATTATTTGTTTCACCTCAATAAACTCCATATAATTTAAGTTGATGAAAATATTTGGTATACAAAATCTCCATCGTTATTTATACAGATTTGATGGACATTAGTAACCAAACTCTTCAAGAGTTTCTAAGCAGAAGCATTTGCCTTAACTCATGATTGTGAAATGTGTATTTCAAGACCATCAAATTTAGTTGTTAATGCTCATATGCACATCAAACATTTAATAATTGAGTATTCTCGAATATTAGCCCATAAAAATTTAAAAGGGGCGTGCTTTGATTTTCATAAGATTCAATCCCAAATAATTATACTAACACTTCCAGTGTTTACAATCGAAGAACTCAAATGTGTTCCTTCTAAGTTTGGCTAGGTGTTTCAAACTTCCAACACTATTATTTCACATTTCATTTAGAGAACAATATGTGTTTTCCTTATTCAGCTCTTTCTGCAGGAAAGATCGAAATATAGTATAGAGATATCTCACTTAAAGGTATTATAATTACTAGCCACGAAATTATGTAAAAGCACATAGGAAAAGTGTTTACATTATATCTTCTACATGAGAAACTCACTACAAGTGAGTTTTTCATATGGTGCATAAAACCTTGTTCAATTCAATCAATGACATTAAATAATATAATTTGCATCATGATAATCAAGCATAGTTCTTCTACAAAATAAATTGTGTCATCGAAACTTATGATCACCCAAGTTGTAGTTAGGCATAAGCACCCTTTTCATTAAATATATTAACAATAATTATATCAATAATCATTAGATATCTATATCTCACTTGTATATCCAAATAGAATGTAAATCTCATATTTGTAAAGAGAAAGAGGTTGAGTGACTAAGAGGGGAAATAAGGTCATATATATTAAAGCGGCGGCACAAAATTCAACTAGTAGCTCAAAATAGATCATTTACATCAAATTGATTGTGCAGAATAATGCTATGGAAACTTAATTGTTATTTAGCTCCTCGGTTATGTGGTTTTATCAATTTTAATATTTCTCGTTAATATCTGTAAAACTATTCTCTACACTTGGTTGTACCCCTAGGCAGTTTTAGTTTTTTTTTTCAACGGTCATGCTAAGATGGGACTTAAGAAATGGATACAAGTGGAAAACTCCTAGATATTTTACAATTAAATATTAATATATGTTAAACCTTTGTCCCGTACTTATTGAGATTGATGAAAATATACTATATTTCATAAAATTGATATGCTAAAATCATAGGCCTTAATTAATCAGTTTATTCAACAAGCCATATGAATGCGGATTCAAGGACAAAAAATACCTTCTTCTCCAAAATTTGATCAATCCGCCATGGATGCCGTTGAATGAAGAGAGGGATAGTAGAGCGGAGCGTTGATCCGTTATTCTCGGGCAGCGAAAATCGATCGATGAATTCCTCTGGAACGGCGACAGAAGGAGGGAAAGCGATGGCGATGATAGCTATGCGGAAATGTGTGGATGGTTTTCTAGAGCATCGTGTGATAACGTATTGTAACTCAAATGCCAAAACGGTATCATTCATTCACATCCAGCTATGTATATATACAAGGAGAAGGGAGCTAGGGTTATACTTCATATGAGCCGGAACATATGAGCTTGGGGATTAATGAACATCCACATATTACATAACAAATACAAAATATTAAGAAAATATTTAGCACACCAGGAATCGGTAAACTAGAAGCGCATGACGTTTACAATATTGAAACAAAGTAAGAATCATATGTCAAAATTCTACGATACCATGTCAAAATTCTACAGTATGTCTATCCAAAAAGAAATCATATTTAGACATATATTCATCCAGGAACGTAAAACTTGGAGAGTTTAAAGAATGATCAAAATAAAATAAACGATACTTACTGAACTCTATGGAAGAAAGTTAGGTTGGGGCAGAAAACCCACAACGGATGGAGCACCAAGAAAAAGAACGACGCACAAGGAGAAATCCGATCAATACGTTCTCTATCAGGATGAATTCCGAATAAGGAGAGAAGAAGAACGCAGGAGGAAGAACGACGCAGGAGGAAGAGAAGAAGGACGCAGAAGAAGGACGCAGAAAAAGAACAAACGCAGGAGGAAGATGTGGTTGGAAAGAATCCTGGAGGAACGGTTAATGAAGGAAACATGCAGCGCCAACTTAGGAAACGTACGAAGTTTAGGCGCACGGTTAATTAAAATCTAATCCAACAGTTGATATCTATTCCTTTTTGCTCTCCTAAGATTACATTCTCACATGAACCTAATATATATATAGCAGTAGTAGTGTTCTGGTAAGGAATTCCTGACCGGAAGCGCTGTCCGGACGGTGGCGTTTGACCGCCTCCCCAGTGTAATTTTTTGATGAAATTTTTATAGCATGTTCTTCATCAAGTATAGTTTATCCAAAAAAAATCACCTAAATATTCAACCGGGAAGGCCGTCAAATAATTTTTGGACGTTAACTGCACCGGAAAATACATATAAAATGCAGTTAACTTCCAAAAATTATTTAACAACCTTCCTGATTGAGTTTTAGCTGATTTTGTGTGTGGATAAACTAGACTTGATGAAGATCATTCTGTAAACATTTCATCAAAAAAGTCGACCGGGAATCGCTCCAAACGGCGGCGTCCGGACGGGGGTTCTGGTCCGGAATTCTGGACCTGAACATTTATGTGTGTGTGTGTGTGTATATACACACAGATTTAGGATTAAATGAGAACAATGTTTAACGTGAGAATGTGAGAACACCACATTTACGCCACTGTGATGCACAATGAGACTCGCCCAATGCACTTTTTCGTGTTTGGCATAATATTTACCAAAATCCCACCGTGTTATTTATATTGACATGTTTTGAGCAAAGTCGAAATGTGCACTAGACGGGCTCTATTGTGTATCACGTTGGGTTAATTGTGAGTGTTCTCATGTTCTCACGTTAAGCATCATTCTCATTGGAACTGTACACCATATATATATATATATAGAGAGAGAGAGTAAGGATCAAATGAGAATACTTCTTAACGTGAGAAATGAAAATGATTCCGGAGCTTTGGATTTTGGGATTGTGCATCAAGTAAAACAGAAATGTGCATATAAAAAATTGGAAAATGTGCATTTCAAGTGTGCAAAAGTTTACACGTAAACGTGCACATTAGAATTTTGCATTACTTTAACTATAAATGTGTATTTTCGTGAATGATAACGTGCATCGTTTTGGAGCGTTCTCATTTCTCACGTTAAGAAGTGTTCTCACCGGAACCGCTCCCTCTATATATATATATATATATATATATATAGGGGTGAGATCACATACAAACCATGCTTAACTTACTAACCTACAAACTCAATAATATGCAACACTTTGAACTTCAATATGCAGTATAAATAATATAAAGATGCACTTTTTGAATTTCAGTATGCAATACAAATAATGTAAATATGAAACTGCTAGTTTATGGCTTGAATAATATGAAACGCGTTGAACTTCAATGTGCAATACAAATAATGTAAAGATGATTTGAATGGGAGGACTAGTTTGTATGTGATCACACCCCTTCATATTTAATTATTTTTACTGCATATTGAAGTTTAAAGTGATGCATATTATTGAGTTTGTAGGTTAGTATTTTAAGGATGGTTTGTATTTGATCTCTTATCTCTCTCTCTCTCTCTCTCTCTCTCTATATATATATATATATATATATATATATATATATATATATATACGAACATGCCAATAAATCATAACTTATAGACCCCTAGTAATAATTACGAACATGCCACCGCAAAAAAATAAATCTGGAGACCTTGGAAATTTTTGGACGCGGTGGCATTTTTGTAATTACGACGGAGAGCTTTATAAGTTACGATTTATTAGTTATAAGTTACCATATTCAGTCTATAAGTTTACTGCGTTGCAAGAACACATGCAAATCCAAGAGCTAAGATTACTTCTCACTTCTCATTTTAAGGAGCACTTCTCACCTGATCTTCTCTCTCTCTCTCTCTCTCTCTCTCTCTATCTATCTATCTATCTATATCTATATATATATATATATATATAGGGAATGGATCCGGTGAGAAGTTCTCTTAAGCTGAAAAATGAGAACTAATATGAGCCGATAGATCCTATCAAATCTGACGGTTCTTCTCCTTTCTTAATTAAATAATTTCAGTTACGTAATCTCATTCCACCGTAGACTTCAACTCTCCTTATCTGATTCTCGCCTCAGTTCTCTATTCTCCGATGAATACAAAAGATGAAGATCGTTGGCCAATCCCAGGAGCTTCTTCTTACGCATTTCTTCGTTGAAAGTGTGAAGCTGAGAGGGCGCCGTTTGTTTAAATCTAAAGAAGATCACTGAATTCGCTTATGTCGTTGTTACATCTTCGCTCGAGATCTAAGCCTAAGGCGGAGTAGTTTCTAGCTACTTGGAGCTTCTCTTTCAATTACACAACTTTTGAAACAAGTAACGCTCTTCACTTTTTCCATGTTCCATAGCCTGCCTGCACAGAGAGGTATATTTTGTCTTTATATCTTATAATTTAGTTTAGAAGCAGGTTGTTAATAAATAGTAATTGTGATGAATTGCTACATGTCGTCCTTTTGGGCATAAGCAATGTCTCTGTTTTGAAATTTTCTAATTGATAAAAATAATTACTCTTATTTTAGTTTATACTATGATATTTTTAATCATTTGATAGATATTTATCAATTTCAGTTTTCTAGTGAGGATGAAGAGCAGTCATATTCTTGTATGAGAGCAGAATGATTTTAGTATAAGAAGAACTATAAGAAGAACTTTAATCTTTTCGCTTGCTTAAAATCATTTGCCCACACCAGGTGCTTGATATGTTGTCTCAATGAATGTTAGTTTACTATACACGTTTCAGTCCTAGACTTTGAGCTCAATTATATATAAAATCAAATTCATAGCCACTCAATATCAATTTGTTGTTTAAATTTTACTTCATTTTCCCTCTACTTCATTTATGCTAAATAATAAGATCTTAGGTTTCAGAAGTCATAAGTTATCATAATTCAAGTAAAAGTTATGCTGCAAGTTTTGTTTCTAGAACATCTAATCAATATGGGATGGTTTTTTGGCTTTATTAGTTCTGGCAACACATCAATAGTTTGGATTAAATCACATGAAATTTTGAATTATAATTGTGATTCTGATTGTTTTTTGTTATTTACTAGACTCTCACCCGCGCGATGCGCGGGACATAAATAATGTAATAATTATGTTTTCGTGTTTTTTAATTAATATTATTAATTGATGTATAATTGTATAGAAATAGATGAGACCTAATATAAATAATACCACGTAAATTTTAATTTGGGAACCGATAGTTAAGACTCAAGCATTGGTAGTAAGTAAGATTTGGAATAAGTAGAAATAAACAAATAAACATATATTACAATAAGATTTCTGCAATTTACACATTTCGAAAAACTTACTTGTAAACAACACTGGTAGTATGGATCCCAGTTTTGACACGTTAATGAACATTAGTTGAAATTTACATTTTAGTATATGTAATTTTTAAATTAAAATATAATGATAGTGAAGCTGAATAATGGTAATGATTATAATAATTTTAATTATATTACTAATATTATCAATATTACTATTGATATATCTAAATTCAGATTTACAAATAAAAAATTTCAAAAAAATACTAATATTTATAAAAATATAAAAACTATTATAATACAAATTATAGTATTGTAATAGTAATACTCAATATAAGTTAGCCGAGCCCAACAATAAATATACCCAACCAATTATAAGATCATCCCATTATTTATGGCCCATTTACTCTGTACCCAGCCCAACACCGAAAATAGATTTCTGCCCAACAACCCAAACCTAAATCGCCTTATATAAGGCTCCTTTACCCTGCGTCTTTATCGTTTACCCTCCGGCAGAATAGGTAATCCGATGGATTACTCTCACACAAAGCTGCACAATCTTCTTCCCTTGCGTCTACTCTCACACATGCCACACTCGGTCGGCATGCCGATTATCTCTCGTCATCGGATATTTGTCCAATAGGTTTGGGAGAACTGCTACGGCGAAGTCTGAGTCAGATTTCAATTCTTGTCTCATTTCTTCTTTTTTTGTAACTTACACAATACATGTGTTTTACCACTTTTCTGTGTACATGCACTTATATATGATTTCGTTTAAAAGATTTATTGGATTCAGCAATATGTGAAGTACTTTTTTGTTATACTGGGTATTGTTTCAAATCTCAATCCATTTTCTCGTATTTCTTACATATAATGTATTTGTGTTTAGTTTGGATTCTGATTCATATGTAGGGGTTTTAGAACTCTTTCACCTTGCTATTTTTTAAACCATGATGGTGTTACAACTCTTTCACCATGTATGGATTAATTTGAATCGTAGGCTTGCCATTGCATACACCATGGTAGTTTTAATTTTTTTGTAATAGATTAGCTATTTTTTTTTGTAAGTATCATCTATGGTGGTTTAAACTCTTTCACCATGCTATCGTTTACATACTGTAGTGGTTACTGGTAATACCAGTCCCGTGAATGTGGTCATCTGAACTGGAATAGGATGTTTGGTGGTTTTGATACTTTGGTAGTTATCGAGTACAACAAAGTTCCTAGTTCCATACACAATTTTTATATGATTTTTTCTTGTACAACTCTAGTTCAGGCCTCCTCACTTAAGCATGAATCCTTCCCTCTGTAATACAATTGATTGTAGTAATAAAAAAGTCATGTTACCATCTATATTCAATTAAACGAACCTAGTGTTAATATTACCTCTTCATCAAAGCAAAATCATCTCTAAAGTTCCTTCTTCCTACCTCAGTTGCCAAGCAGTTGGATGTGTTGGGGAGTTCAACTGCTAAGTGAATGGTATTTATAGCCATTTAAATTCTTTTAACTGTTATATTTAACCGATGGATTTTAAGATGTTTTGGTATGCATTAAATGTTCTTGTCGGCTGCACAATTTGTTGATATATTTTTACAACTAAAGATATTAAAGTATGCTTTATTTAATTCTTTTTCATATGCAATCAATCTTTGAGATATGAAGTACATTTTCATTTAATGCTGTGTATGGAGACTTGAGCTTCGCATTTATTGCTCAGATCAAATCTGCTATATTATATTCGGCACACATCCCACCCTCTCCTTTTTGAATTACACAACATTTAATGTTTATTGAGGCGTGAGCTTAACAATAGATGGTCTTTATTGAGCCCTGAAAACTTGGACCATACCCGTTACTGAACCCATTTCAAACTGACCCGACTTGTTACTGTACAGTGTTTTGGCGGGAACATTGTACATTTCCTTTGCTTTTGTATATAGAAAGATAATATACCTTTCTTCATGGCAAGCAACCTCTAGTTTCTCTATCTCTGGAATGCAATGGAGTCTCATTTCCGACCTTGGTGTATTCGATCATAAATTAAGATGGTTTTATACTAAAATTTGTAGTGTTTGATCCAATGGTTGAAAGGACAACACAGTACTTATTTCTTCCAACCATTTAATTTTTTTGAATCAATCGAGAAAGTTAGTTTGAAAGGACAACACTCTGAAATTTTTCAAAGCATTTCAAGTTTTTAATCAATCGAGAAAGCCAGCTTCTTTAATAACTCAGAGTTCAAAATCCAATGGTTATTAGTTTTCAATCGTACAGAGCATTAAATGTAAAGATGGTTTAATGCATTAAATGTTTGTATGCTCAAAGATTGCATGCAGATTTTTTATGTGGACTCAATGATTTTAAGTACAATGTAGATCCTTTTTTATTGATAATAGCTCAGTTTTCTTGAGCCACACAATCTGAAACATTGGACATTGAGCCTTCTTTAAATCAAAGTTGCACAGACCACATAATCTCTTATCTGACCCGTTACTGCACCCATGGGCACCCGACCCGACCCGTTACTGTACAGTGTTTGGGCGAGAACACTGTACAGTTTTTCTTTTGGCTTTGTATAATAGAAGATGAGAAGCTAGTATGTTTGTATCTTGATTGCTTTGAATTTAGAGTATATTCTCATTGTTCAGAACTATGGTTTTAAATGACCACAATTTCACTGTTTATCTTTCAAAGTACAGAACAAAATAAAAGTTATTCATTTATTTTTAGAAGCCAACTCAGGTCATTAGAAATAATGAGAAGGGAAGCATCTCAATAGTATAACACTGCCCCCAAGTATTTGTACTTTATCAAATTATGTATTGAACCTTGAGAAATGAATAAACGCATTTTACGTGATTGTAAATTTTTTATCATTTCTTTTGCGTGAATAGTAAAATTCACACGGGCCCACATCGGAAGTGGGGGCCACCCGATATTATCGGGACCACATATGATATTAATCTATGCCTAGATAATATGTATATGGTGGTGGGTATTCTAATTGGGCCGTGGCAATGGCATAGAGTGGACCGGGTTGGTCAAACGAGGTCCAATTATCAGTATCGGCAATTTATCAGATAAGAACCCGAAAAAGGGATTTCGGAGACTTCTAAATTAAAATTGAGGAATGTATATTCATTATAAAGTCCAATAATGATGGAGAGCATGTGTGATATTTTATTTGATCCGATAAAATAAAATATAATTAAAACAGTCCGAAAAATACAACTTTCGAAACTGATTGTACACTCGGGGACACAAAGGGTTGACCTCGCACATAAGTGGGGGATACCCACGTTTTTAGTCTTGCAAATGGGAAGGGGAGTCGCATCATTGGGCTAGTGTAGGGGGATTGAGTTGATGGGGAGGCAAAATGAGAAGGGAAAAGGGTCCCTCCCCCACATGATTGGTAAATAAGCCAAAGGAGATATTTCCACCACCTCACATCTCATACAGCTCGACCATACCACTTTCCAAGAGGAAAGAATCTCTGCAAACCCCATTTTTATCATCCATACACGCACTTGAGCTAAGGAGGAAGAAGGAGGGGAAAAGAGAAGAGAAAAATTGGCTTTGAAGAGGAAAACTTGTGTTTACCAAGGTAATGACTCCATTAATCCCATTTCTTGTTCTTCAATCCTCTTATATGATTATTCAATCATATTTCACACCCTAGGATTGTTCTACACGTTTGGAAGTGTAGAATTAGAGGTTGGAAGAAAGTTCGAAGTTCAAGAACGGACTTAGAAGCCAAAGTGACCGGTTCGCCGGAAAATAACCTTTTTGAGGTTATTTGTATTACTATGGGTTTTATGATGATAAAACCTTGTTAGTAACTTGTCTAAGGTATTCAAGGAACTTTCACAGAGTTGAAAGGGGCGCCGGAGTTGTCGCCGGAGTTCATTGAAGTTCGCCGGAGTTTCGTCGGAGCTAATGCTTTATAACTTTTGCGTGAGGCATGAGATTACCTAAAGTAATCAAAAATATGTTTTATGGAATGATTAAGTATAATCAAGTATTTGCTTATGCCATGATTATATATAAAACATAGTTGAAAAGCATGTTATTTACGTTTGATGATTAAAAATGTGATAAATTATTATGTACGATGTTCCAGGGATCCAAAATGATATTTTTTGGATTGAGGACGTCAAGAAGTACATGTGTGTAAAATTTCACGTTAATTGGACTCCGTTTGGGTGGTCAAACGGGCGTTGACCGCATGGTCAACTGCCATACCCGACCGGGTATTGACAAGTACCCGACCGGGTATTTGCTGAAGATTTGCCCCAGGGGGCTACTGCCTCCTATACCCGATCGAGTATGGGTAGACACTTGATCGAGTATACATTGAAAATTAGCCTTGTGGGCTACTGTCTCCTGTACTCGACCGAGTATAGGTGAGTACTCGATCGAGTATTGGTTTATGCTCAAAACGGGCAGTTTTGAGTAGGTTAACGTGGGCCGTTCAAGTGGGACCCGCCCACGTTGGTTCCTAAGGATTGTTATATGACTATAGGGCTAGGCATTGTCCATAGTTAAGGGAATGAAAGGTTAGCCATATCCATGTTAGGATTTGGTAGAGGATAGACTGGGGATTGAGTACCCTTGGACGGTAAATGATTCAGAATACTCCAGGTGGGGTCGAGTACCCTTGGACAGTAAATGATCCAGAATACTCCAGGTGGGGTCGAGTACCCTTGGATGGTAAATGATCCAGAATACTCCAGGTGGGGTCGAGTACCCTTGGACGGTAAATGATCCAGAATACCCCAGGTGGGGTCGAGTGCCCTTGGACGGTAAATAATCCTAAATACTCCAGGTTGGGTTGAGTGCCTTGGACGGTAAATGATCCTAAAACACTCGGTAGTATGAATCGAAGGTAGACTATAGCTTGTGAGCTAGGCATCGGGGAAAGGAGTGAGAAAAGTCAGGTAAGAACTTTTATCTCTAAAAGATTCTTTAAGATAAACGACCTACGGGTTAAGTATTTTACACGAATATATACAGTATGTATCATCGGGTGGATGAGTTGCAACTATATATATATGTATCACCCTATTTTTGGGTCTCGTGTCTGAAACATTAGTTATTCTTCATATAGCCTGCTTGTCACTATTACTTATATGGAGTACTGACCCCTTCGGGGGCCCTCACATTTTTCAGGTTAAGGCTAGAGTCCTACTACCTGCACCTTTGCCTGGGGTGATTGATCCAGAAGGAATACGTGGTTCGTGCTTCCATTCTTATTTCAAATTTATAAACTGCTCATGGATTTTCGAACAATGTTTTCCTTAAAACAGTTGGGGGCCTGCGTGCCCGTGTTTGCCACGTGTGGCTAAGTATCAAACATATTATCATTTCCGCATTTGTTGATTATGATATTGATGTTGATTGTATGTGTTTACTAATCGGTTTGGCAATAGAATCAATCGGACGCCTTGTACAATTCAATAGGGATGAACTGTTGTTGTTCTTATCGGGTTGTACGGCGGTTGTCTACGTGGCCCGGATGCAGTTCGGGGCTTGACAATTAAATGGTATCAGAGCCATCGATTCCTAAACTATACAATTAACCTCTCAATAGTCTCGTCATCAAAAAGTTTTGAACAAAACCATGAGCAAAAGTTTTTGTAATTAAGGAACCGTTGGAAACCAAGTTATTGACCTCTTATTGTTAAGACGGTACCCTTAACAGTTTGTTGGCCATAATGTTGGACCAAGTGGTGTCTTTTGTGCTATTCTGTCAATCGACATCGAAACGAGTCTAAAGGCTAATTCCTTATTTCTTTCAGAAATGGAGGGAGGACGCAGGAGCACTAGGAGAAACCCAACGGGATGTGCACCGGGGGCTACCGGGCACGCCACACGGGCTGAATCACGGACCTCTAGGGGTAGAGGCCAGGGTCAAGTCCGAGGACGAGGACGAGGCAGGGGTCGTGGGCTTTCTACAATGCCGACGGCAAGTAGCACGCGTGTCGGTTCGGTGCACCCGTCTTGGGCCACCGAACCGGACGACTTCGCCTATGCTTCAAGCACGGAGCAAGAGGAGACCCCGTACAACAGGGAGGACTTTGAAGAAGAAGATGAGGATGATGATCCTCATTACGACCGTATGAGCGAGGTACTAGAATGGTACCTCGAGAATAAGGCAAAGAGAGAGCAGCGGCGCCAAGCTAGACAGGCAAGGCAAGCCATAGGGCAGGGAAGCCGAGGTGCTTCTAGTGCTCCATCTGGGGCATTCGGGGGAGACACGATGGTACGTATCTCCAAGTACCTCAAGGAGGCTAGAGCCTTGGGGTGCAAATCATTTGATGGCAAAGGCGACATATCAGAGGCCGCAGACTGGATCAAGAAGCTGAATGATGCTTCTAGGGATATGCAAATTGGACTCGACGTGAAGTTGAGGGTTGCCACCAGGCTACTTGATGGGGTAGTTGCAGTGTGGTGGGAAGGCGTGGAAGGGAAGTTCCACGGTGAGGCCACTTGGGAGAAATTCGAAGTGGATTTTTATAATCAGTACTACTCAACTTTTGAAGTCAATCTCAAAAGAAGAGAGTACACAAACCTGAAACAGGAGGATGGTTGCTCGGTGAGGCAATTGGAACAAAGGTTTCGTGACTTGGCACGGTTCATCCCAGAATACTCTTTGGATGAAAATCGTATGGCCAATCATTTTTGGGATGCTCTACAGTTGGACATTCGTGATCGGGCTACTTATCATCATAACATGACATTTAGCCAGATCGTTGATAAAGGGCTCCTTGGGGAAGCCCAGTGGAACGAGAGGAAGGTGAGGGACGCTGAGGAGGCGAAGAAGAGAAGATGGGAAAACTCTGGACCCCAAGACCACTCTCGGAAGCACCACGCGGGGGGTGGCAATTCATTCAGGGCGCCGGCACCATTGGCGAAAATGAATAAGGGCTCAGGAGGGCAAGGGGCCAAACTAGGGAGTACATGGTCACCGAGGTGCGCAAATTGCGGCAAGAACCATGCGGGGAAGTGTAATGAACCACCGCGGTGTTACAAATGCGGTAGCACGAGCCACCTCAACTCCTCTTGCCCAATGTTTAATGGAGGGGGACCATCGGGGGATATGGAAGGACCTGCGGCTGGTAGGGGATGCGCGGGACCATCCCAGGACGGCACAGGAAGGGGCGGACCCATGGCTAGCAATGCCGCGTCCGTTAACCAAGGGAGGACCCAGGCACGGGTGTATGCAATGACCGAGGCTGATGCTCGGGCCAACCCGGATTCCATTGTAGGTAATCTCTTGGTTACACATGCATTTTATTCATTTACTTGGAGAAAAACTTTCAGAATATATGCATGACCCGATCGGGTACTCCTATAGACCCGACCGAGTATAGACTCTGTTTCAATTTTGAAGTGTGTACTCGTGCGGGCAAGCGTGGCAGGATCTTTTGTTTTTGACACTTCGAGCAATACCCGATCGAGTATATAGCCATACCCGATCGGGTATGGATAAAATTTTGGTTTGAAGTGTGTACTCGTTCGGATAAGCGTGGCAGGATCGTCCGCTTTTGACACTTCGAGCAATACCCGATCGGGTATGGCCATATACTCGATCGGGTATGTGTAATATCTTGGCTTCGAAGTGTGTACTCGATCGAGCGTTAGGGACATGAAGCGATTTGTTGAAAATTTCGAGTGATACCCGACCGGGTATAGGAATACACCCGACCGGGTATCGACATTTCGTCCGAATTCGAGGTGTGTACTCGACCGGGGAAGGGGATCAGGAAGCCTTTTCCCTAAGGGCTCGAGTAGTACCCGACCGGGTATAGGGCTTTACCCGACCGGGTATAGGGTATCCCTAGGCTGAAAATTTTTCGTTCGGTCCTTTTCAGTCGGGATGTTGAGTAGTGTGTCTTACATGACTTATGTATGTAGGGACACTAAAGATCAACGATAGGGACGCGAGAATTCTCATTGATACCGGAGCACAACGTTCATTTGTGAGCGAAGCGTTTGCCAAGGGTTTGGGCATGCCTTTGGTAGCAATGATGCAACCATTGTTGGTCTCTACGCCATTGGGAGATGATGTAGAGCGGAAACACTACTATCCCTCGTGTAATGTAGGGATAAGGAAACACTGTCTAATGGGTGACTTTGTGCCGTTAGACATGCTCGAGTTTGATGCTATACTTGGCATGGATTGGCTCGAAAAACACCATGCGAAAGTAGATTGCTACACCAAGGTGTTAGAACTAAAAGATGGAGAAGGAAATACTCTATGCTTCGAGGGAGATAGAGGGAAATTCAATCCTTGTATCATATCGGCCATAAGAGCAAGGCGTATGATGAGGAAAGGGTGTCAAGCATACTTGGCCTATGTCATAGGCAAGGAAGGCAAGGGAAAGAGTCTCACTGAGGTGAGAGTGGTGAGTGAGTACTTAGAAGTTTTCCCTAAAGAACTCCCGGGACTCCCACCAAATCGAGAAATTAAGTTCACCATTGAAGTAGAACCCGGTACAAAACCCATCTCGATTCCTTCAAATCGGATGGCACCGGCTGAACTTCAAGAGTTGAAGGTTCAATTAGAAGAATTACTGGACAACGGATTCATTAGGCCGAGTCATTCACCGTGGGGAGCACCGGTACTCTTTATAAAGAAGAAAGATGGTACACTTAGAATGTGTATCGATTACCGTCAGTTGAACAAGGTCACGATAAAGAACAAATACCCTTTGCCAAGGATCGATGATTTGTTTGACCAACTACGGGGGGAAACCGTGTTCTCTAAGATCGACTTGAGGTCAGGCTACCATCAACTGAAGATCAAAGAGAGTGACATACCCAAAAGTGCATTCCGTACAAGGTATGGTCACTATGAGTTTCTAGTAATGTCGTTTGGGCTTACGAACGCCCCCGCGGCATTCATGGACCTCATGAACCGAGTATTTCACCAATACTTGGACCTGTTCGTTATAGTATTCATAGATGACATTTTGATATACTCCATGAATGAGGAAGAACACGAGAAACATCTAAGGCTTGTGCTTGAAACACTGCGGGAGAAGCAACTCTTTGCCAAATTCTCTAAATGTGAATTTTGGCTTGGAGAGATCGGTTTTCTCAGGCATGTGGTATTGGGATCGGGCATTTCAGTTGATAACTCGAAGATTGAAGCAGTCACTAATTGGGAGAGGCTCAAGAATGTGAAGGAAATAAGGAGTTTTCTCGGTTTAGCGGGGTATTACCGCAAATTTGTGGAGAAGTTCTCTGTGATAGCATCTCCACTCACGAAGCTCACTAAAAAGGGGGCTAAGTTTGTGTGGGATGATAAGTGTGAGAAGGGGTTTCTTGAGCTAAAGAAACATTTGACCGAAGCACCAGTGCTTGCCCTACCCGTGCAAGGGTTAGGGTATGACATCTACAGTGATGCTAGCATTCAGGGACTTGGGTGTGTACTGATGCAATCAGGGAAGGTAATTGCTTATGCTTCTCGGCAATTGAGAAAGCACGAAGTAAATTACCCCACACACGATCTGGAGCTACGTGCTGTGGTGTTTGCATTGAAGATTTGGAGGCACTACCTCTACGGAGAGTTGTGTCACGTCTATACTGACCACAAGAGCTTGAAGTATGTGTTCACTAAGAAAGAGTTGAACATGAGACAGAGAAGATGGATGGAGTTGATCAAGGATTACAACTTAATCATTGACTATCATCCGGGCAACGCTAATGTAGTAGCCGATGCACTGAGCAGGAAGAGCTCGTCATCAGGGGTTTTACTCACATGCTTACGAGCATTGAGGGCACGTGTGGAGGTATCCACGGATGGGGCGTTATTGGCTAGATTTGAGATAAGACCCACCTTATTAGATGAAATCAGAACATGTCAAGGCAATGACGAGGAATTTCAGAAAATCCGGGAACGGATGCTTGTGGGGCCCGTCGAGGGTTTCCGTGAGAGAGAAGATGGACTTCTACTATTCAAGGAACGAGTGTGTGTGCCATCGGATGAGGAGCTCCGAAAATCTATCCTTGAGGAGGCTCACTCATCTGCGTATGCCATGCACCCGGGCGGTACAAAGATGTATCGAGACTTGAAAGAAAGTTACTGGTGGTCGGGGATGAAGAGAGAGATTGCAGAATACGTAAGCCGTTGCCTTACCTGTCAACAGGTTAAGGCAGAGCACCAACACCCAGCAGGGTTACTACAACCACTTACCATTCCAGAATGGAAGTGGGAGCATGTTACCATGGACTTCGTGGTGGGTCTACCACGGACGGTTAGGAACTACGACGCAGTATGGGTGGTAGTGGATAGGCTAACCAAGAGTGCTCATTTTCTACCTATCAACACTACCTATACGCTCGAGCGACTGGCCAAGTTGTACACAGATGAGATTGTGAGACTGCATAGGGTTCCAGTTACCATAGTATCAGATAGAGACCCACGGTTCACATCGCGGTTTTGGCCTAAGTTTCAGGAATCCATGGGTACGAAGTTGAGGTTTAGCACCGCATTTCATCCTCAAACGGATGGGTAGTCCGAACGTGTAATTCAGATTTTGGAAGACATGTTGAGAGCATGTGCTTTGGAGTTCCAGGGAAGCTGGGACAATCAGTTGGCTTTGGTGGAATTCGCCTATAACAACAGTTATCAGGCGAGTATAGGCATGCCTCCATACGAAGCATTGTATGGGAGGAAATGTCGGACACCATTGTGTTGGGACGAGGTCAGAAGAGCTTAAGGCTTAAGGCTTAAGGCTGCCCAAGACCGGCAGAAGAGCTATGCCGATAAGCGTTGGAGGACGTTGGAGTTTGAGGTCGGTGACAATGTATTTCTGAGGGTATCACCTTGGAAAGGAATCATCAGGTTCCTCAGTCGGGGTAAGCTTAACCCACGTTATATAGGCCCGTTCAAAATCCTTGAAAGGATTGGGGTCGTAGCATACCGACTTCGGCCGACTCCAGAGTTGGAAAATATTCATAACGTGTTTCATGTCTCTATGCTCAAGAAGTATGTGCAGGACCCGTCACACATTCTTGAGAAACCACCGGTAGAAATCCGAGAAGACCTACACTATACGGTGCAGCTGGTAAAGATCATGGGCCGACAGGTGAAAAAGCTAAGGAGCAAAGAGGTTTCGATGGTAAAAGTACTTTGGAAGAGTGATCGCGTCGAGAAGCAAACTTGGGAAGTGGAGACCCTAATGAGGGAACAATATTCATTTCTGTTTGACTAGACATGTGGATTTCGGGGACGAAATCCCAAATAAGGGGGGTAGAACTTGTAACACTGCCCCCAAGTATTTGTACTTTATCAAATTATGTATTGAACCTTGAGAAATGAATAAACACATTTTACGTGATTGTAAATTTTTTATCATTTCTTTTGCGTGAATAGTAAAATTCAGGCGGGGACCACATCGGAAGTGGGGGCCGCCCGATATTATCGGGACCACATATGATATTAAAGATGGCCTAGATAATATGTATATGGTGGTGGGTATTCTAATTGGGTCGTGGCAATGGCATAGAGTGGACCGGGTTGGTCAAACGGGGCCCAATTATCAGTATCAGCAATTTATCAGATAACAGCCCGAAAAGGGATTTCGGAGACTTCTAAATTAAAATTGAGGAATGTATATTCATTATAAAGTCCAATAATGATGGAGAGCATGTGCGATATTTTATTTGACCCGATTAAATAAAATATAATTAAAACAGTCCGGAAAATACAACTTTCGGAACTGATTGTACACTCGGGGACACAAAGGGTTGACCTCCCACATAAGTGGGGGCCAACCCACGTTTTTAGTCTTGCAAATGGGAAGGGGAGCCGCATCATTGGGCTGGTGTAGGGGGATTGAGTTGATGGGGAGACAAAATGAGAAGGGAAAAGGGTCCCTCCCCCACATGATTGGTAAATAAGCCAAAGGAGATATTTCCACCACCCCACACCTCATACAGCTCGGCCATACCACTTTCCAAGAGGAGAGAATCTCTGCAAACCTCATTTTTATCATCCATACATGCACTTGAGCTAAGGAGGAAGAAGGAGGGGAAAAGAGAAGAGAAAAGTTGGCTTTGGAGAGGAAAACTTGTGTTTAACAAGGTAATGACTCCATTAATCCCATTTCTTGTTCTTCAATCCTCTTATATGATTATTCAATCATATTTCACACCCTAGGATTGTTCTACACGTTTGGAAGTGTAGAATGAGGGGTTGGAAGAAAGTTCTAAGTCCAAGAACGGACTTAGAAGCCAAAGTGACCAGTTTGCCGGGAAATAACCTTTTTGAGGTTATTTGTATTACTATGGGTTTTATGATGATGAAACCTTGTTAGTAACTTGTCTAAGGTATTCAAGGAACTTTCACATAGTTGAAAGGGGCTCCGAAGTTGTCGTCGGAGTTCGTTGAAGTTCGCCGGAGTTTCACCGGAGCTAAATCGGAAAGGCTAGAACTTCATAAGCTTCATTAAAGTGAGAAGACGACTTTATGCTTTATAACTTTTGCGTGAGGCATGAGATTACCTAAAGTAATCAAAAATATGTTTTATGGAATGATTAAGGATAATCAAGTATTTGTTTATGCCATGATTATATATAAAACATAATTGAAAAGCATGTTATTTACGTTTGATGATTAAAAATGTGATAAATTATTATGTGCGATGTTCCAGGGATCCAAAATGGTATTTTTTTGGATTGTGGATGTCAAGAAGTACATGTGTGTAAAATTTCACGTTAATTGGACTCCGTTTGGATTGTCAAACGGGCGTTGACCGCCAAGTCAACTGCCATACTCGACCGGGTATTGACAAGTACCCGACCGGGTATTTGCTGAAGATTTGCCCCAGGGGGCTAGTGCCTCCTATTCCCGATCGAGTATGGGTAGATACTCGATCGAGTATACATTGAAAATTAGCCTTGTGGGCTACTGTCTCCTGTACTCGATCGAGTATAGGTGAGTACTCGATCGAGTATTGGTTTATGCTCAAAACGGGCAATTTTGAGTAGGTTAACGTGGGCTGTTCAGGTGGGACCCGCCCACGTTGGTTCCTAAGGATTGTTATATTACTATAGGGCTAGACATTGTCCATAGTTAAGGGAATGAAAGGTTAGCCATATCCAGGTTAGGATTTGGTAGAGGATAGTCTAGGGATTGAGTACCCTTGGACGATAAATGATCCAGAATACTCCAGGTGGGGTCGAGTACCCTTGGACGGTAAATGATCCAGAATACTCCAGGTGGGGTCGAGTACCCTTGGACGGTAAATGATCCAGAATACTCTAGGTGGGGTCGAGTACCCTTGGACGGCAAATGATCCAGAATACTCTAGGTGGGGTCGAGTGCCCTTGGACGGTAAATGATCCTAAATACTCCAGGTTGGGTTGAGTGCCTTGGACGGTAAATGATCCTAAAACACTCGGTAGTATGAATCGAAGGTAGACTATAGCTTGTGAGCTAGGCATCGGGGAAAGGAGTGAGAAAAGTCAGGTAAGAACTTTATCTCTAAAAGACTCTTTAAGATAAACGACCTACGGGTTAAGTATTTTACACGAATATATACAGTATGTATCATCGGGTGGATGAGTTGCAACTATATATATGTATCACCCTATTTTTGGGTCTCGTGTCTGAAACATTAGTTATTCTTCATATAGTCTGCTTGTCACTAGTACTTCTATGGAGTACTGACCCCTTCGGGGGCCCTCACATTTTTGAGGTTAAGGCAAGAGTCCTACTACCTGCACCTTTGCCTGGGGTGATTGATCTAGAAGGAAGACGTGGTTCGTGCTTCCATTCTTATTTCAAATTTATAAACTGCTCATGGATTTTCGAACAATGTTTTCCTTAAAACAGTTGGGGGCCTGCGTGCCTGTGTTTGCCACGTGTGGCTAAGTATCAAACATATTATCATTTCCGCATTTGTTGATTATGATATTGATGTTGATTGTATGTGTTTACTAATCGGTTTGGCAATAGAATCAATCGGACGCCTTGTACAATTCAATATGGATGAACTGTTGTTGTTCTTATCGGGTTGTACGGCGGTTGTCTACGTGGCTCGGATGCGGTTCGGGGCGTGACAAGTAGTCTTTGAGAAAAAAATTATATGTCATTCCTCTGTACATGGCATTATCAAAGCCAAAATAGAATTTGTAGTCTTAGTTCTTTTGATTCAGTTTTAGTTGTGTAAAAAAATTATCAATTTTCTATTAATAGTTATAAATATTACTATAGAAGTACTTAGTATTACATATTTACAAACTTTATTAAATCTGCTCATAATACAAAGTATTAAATATATGCACTAATAATACTAAAAATAAAAGTGGCTGACTGCTTCTTTTTTTTTGTTAAACTAGTCGCTTACTGATTTTGAGCTCTTCATTATATATGAGCTAGAAGTCGTGGATTTGTTGTTAAAAGTTATGGTTCTAACATTATTAGTATGTTGCTAAATGACTCTTTTTACTTTGGCAGGTGAGGACAAGTATGAGTGTCTGAGCGAGCAAATGAAGATGAAATTGGGAATGAAGATGAAGTTGGACATCAAAATTATCCAAGTCATAGAGAACATCGCATGTTGAATTTATTTTTGAAGTTCTGTCATGTCACTTTTTCAATTTAAAGTGTATATTTGTGACTTGGAAGTTACTGGTTATTGTATAACTTTGCTCTACTTTTTATGATAGAACTTGTGATAATTGTTGGTTGAAGACTATTTTATCTTTACATAATTTCTCTGATTGATTTTGATCTTTTAAGTTAATGTGAATTAAAAGTCGTGCATTTAGTTTTATAAGTAATGATTAAAGCTCTATTAGTGGTAGCGAGGCTAGTTACTAGAGGCTGGAGATTTGGTGAAGCAATCCCATTTGTTGAAAATGATAGATAGGATGGCATCATGTGTTTGGCTCAAAGCTGGCATGAAGGGGCATTTGGTAAGCACGCCTTTGTGCTCGTTTTTCTATTGGACAGGTTGTTCTATCTATCCACGATAGATTTCTGTAATCAGGATTCAGGATGAGAGACTTTGCTTCGTGCCAAGTTTAAGTTCCCCTGTCACTATATAGCTTAAATTAGTACCAAAAGAGTTCTTTGATAGTGTATAAATACCTGATAGAATTATAGTACACACAACAAGCTTTTAAATAAAGTATGTGGATGCAACATAAGATAAAAAAACAAGCAGATACTGTGGGAAGAAAAAAAGAAGGAAAGGTAAGGAAACAAAATAGCAGCTGCAACTATAGGCTATGCAGGACTCGAACCTGCATCTTTGTGCATTTTTGCACATTGCTCTACCATTTGAGCTAATAGGTTTGATAATATATTACACTAGACACCAAAAGAGCATCTAACATTACGAAAGAAATGAAAAAGAAGAGAATCAATAATGTAATCAAGAACTAACAGTAGCTTATAAAAGAATGAGTGCGATTTTTAATATTAAATGAACTCTTAACTAAAACTTAAGATTATTGTTTACACATTAAGATTCATTGTCAAGGCACAACTTTTACTCAAATTACTATAACTATTAACTCAAAAGACCCAACTTTTAACCAAACCTCATAGTTGATCATTTGCATTAGAATTTAGAAATAAAAGTAAAACACGGTAGAATTACAACTAACATAGCCACCTAATCTGACTGAACACGTAGATTCAATATGATAAATACATTTAAACTGAGAAGGAAAAAAACTTATAAAGGATTGTCTTTGTATGAGTAAAGAGATATTAAGATATCTCTGTGATTTGAAGACAACCCCCCCCCCTCCCCCCCCCCCCCCCCGCCCTAACCTCAAGCTCTACAATTTCTGGCCAGAGTTCACAAGATGAGCTGAAATCAATGGTAGGATGTGGTAGTTCTATGTTATAATCATTTCTTTTTGTGACCATCATATCCCTACAATAAGTGTTTAGAGCACAGTTAGCCTCTTCTGAGTTATACTATCCTTGGAGGCCTCATAAGTTCTTTCATATTCCTTACTTTGCTAACATTCATTGGAAATTATCAAGAGGCAAATGGAACCAAAAATGGATGGGGTACAGTTATACTTGCAAATGAAATTGCTTTAGTTGCTGCTAGTACTGTCAATCTGTCATCGAGTGTATATAACAACATGCCTTTTGTTTTTTGTTGGGCTACTATACGAGATCAACAAACTCTCTATGACGATGGCTGCCAAAGTTGAAGGTAGAGCCAAAAGGTTGTAGTTGAGAATGACATAGTGGATTGTTTTAGGTGCAGTGAATTGATGAGGATGAGGATGAGACTGAGACCAATCAAACCATTATTTTGTAACCACTAGCAACATCCAACCTGGTGATCTATTTATGATCATAACAACACAAAAAAGAGTTTTAAGATTAGTGTTTTAATTAAGAGGGAAATAATAACTTTAAAATTAGTGTTTGCAAATTAAGATTCTGTGTTAATGCATAACTTTTACTCAAATTACTATGACTATTAACTCAAAAGACATAACTTTTATTCAGAACTCATATAAGGTCTAAAGTTTAAGAGTTTAAATTGTAACACAGAATGTAAATTAAAGAGGACAAAAAGTCTAACTGCATAAACTAAATTTCAACAAAAAAATAGTGTATAAGTTACATATGATATTCATAAAATTTTACTCTACTTTCAAATGAAGCCCATCATCATTTAAGCATTTTAACAAGCACTTGATATGAATATTTAATCTAAATTAGACAAAATTAATCAGACAAAAAATCTCAGTTCCAACAAAGGTATAATACTTATTGACTTGGGTGAGTTTTACCCTTTTTTTACCTAAACAACATACACTCTAGGATCTTAAAGTTACAGATTAAACTAAACTCATTGAGAGATAATATCAAACATTTGAAAGCTGAAGAGGGGAAAATAACTTATTTTAAATTTGATATACTAGAAAAGTATTACATGGTAAAAAGTAGATTTATAGCTCATTGAGACATAATATCAAACACTTAATAGATGCAGAGGGAAGAATAACTTATTTTAAAAATTTTAAACTAGAAAGTTGCATTATAATTGAACCAGAACCTGATTACTTCCATTAAAACAAATTGAAGGTGAATCAACTTGATATTAAAATGAACTCTTCAATAAAAAATCTGGACAAAAAATAATACTAAAGGTAAGAAAGTTGAATTTGAAACTTACCGTCAATTGTTTGTTTCAGTTCATGGACTGATTAAGATTTGTGAAATTCTTCATGGAATATGTTGATCATGAGCTTCACCCATGGCTGCCTAGTCATCATTGCATATATTTGAGCAGATGAGGGAAGAGTTTAGTACTTCAAATTAGGGGAAAATAAGTTGATTCAGAGCTTCGATCCCTCTGCTATGGCCAGTCGTCATCACTAAAGATTGGTCTTTCAATCTTGTATGGCGTTAGACTAACTAGAGGTCGTAGGTGATAGGCTTATAAGTCATCAATAGTACTGCTTCGCCATTGGGAGAGACACTTGCAGTCTGAGGGAGAGATGGCAAACATGCCTTTTAACGAAAAGGTATACAGTTCACGAAATTTACAAATATGCCATTAATGATACGATAGTTTTAAAGTAATCGAACTGTTCGGACGAGTTAATCGGACGGCAGTCAGGACTTCTCATTTTTCAACCTAATATGGACTTCTCATGGGATCTTTTCCCTTATACTATATATACTTATATATTGAGTATATATGTGAAAGTATTAAATATAAGTGTACTACTCATCTTATAGTAGTATACTTATATATTGTATACTAGAGAAACACAATTCAAATATATATCCCAATCTTTGAAGGAGTGTGAGGTTAACACCCCAAACTTGCATGTGTATTATAAACACCCCAAACTTTGCATAAAAAGTTTTTTAGCACCATGGTCATTGTTATTTTTTCAAAAATGTAAATTTATGGTATTAATTTCATATTTTAAAATATTTTTATTTCAATTATTAAGCGTTGCAATTATATAGGCTAAGGATACGTAATACGTAGTATTATTTATTCATAATGGAAGTTTAGAATGTTAATTATATCTTCACAAATGCTAAAATATTTTAAATTATGCAATTAATATCATAAGTTTACACTTTTGAAAGAAATAATATATAACCATGGTGCTAATTTTTTTTTTTATGTAAAGTATGGAGTATTTAAATTACATATGCAAGTCTGGGGTAGCTACGTCACACGGTCACACCCTTTCAATGTTTGGGGTATTTGAATTATTTTTCCCTATATACTATTAACCTTATACATTCATTCTAGTAGTTTCATTTTCATTAATTAATATACATTAATATATTTATCTTATTAGTTACATTTTCATTGGTATTAGTTAAATTTATCCTATTAGTTACATTCCCATTAATTAATATACATTCATACATTTATCCTATTAGTTACATTTTCATTAATATTAGTTATACATTTATCCTATATTAATGGTAGTTACATTCTCACTTTGTTACATTCTCATTTTGTCAACTTTAATACTTGTTACATTCTCAAATTATACTATTCTCATTTTAGTTACATTTGAAATTGTTAATAGTAGTTTCATTTTAATTGCATTTACTATATGTGTTACATTATCATATTAATTAACCATATTTGTTAGATATTAATATTAAACATATTAAAGTTGTTAGATTAAAGTAGTTGCATTTTAATTGCATTTACTATAGTTGTCACATTTTAATAATAAAGTCACATTTTACTTACATTTGAATATTAGTTGCATTTTATTATTTAAACTCACAAATTAATAAGAAAGTCACATTTTAGTTACATTTAAATATTAGTTGCATTTTAATATTAAACTCATAATTTAATATTAATCTCACATTTTAGTTACATATAAATATTAGTTGCATTTTATTTGTACTCACAATTCAATATTTGTTAGAGTTGTATACTTGTCACATTTTTAATATTAAAGTCACATTATAGCTACGTTATCATATTAGTTACATTTTCATATTAAAGTCACATTTTAATTTTAAAGTCACATTTTAGTTACAATTTTATATTAATTACATGTAAAATTGAACTCACAATTTAATATTGAACTCGCATTTTACATATGTTGGGATATTGGGCCAAAAGCCAAATATACTAGGCCCATTAGTCAGCAAGGATACATATGAAGATAGACCCGGTAACTAGTCATGCCGAATGGGATCCAGGGAACCATGAAGGATTATGCCCCGAACGGGGATCGGGTCATGCAGGTAACTTGGATTAAATTGATAAATGATATCAGCATGACATCGTCCTGAAGCCCCAACGGGCAACCTGCAAGTGACAAGGGACATTTAATGCTAGGGTATGACGTCAGCAAGTGGGAGTATGAACATTCAAGTGCCTCGAGAACGGCAGCAAGTCAGATTCAACCACGTCATCACCCCATCCCCTTTTATTAGTATAAATAGGGGCTCAAATCTCATTGTAAAGGGTTAGCATTTTGAGACTCAAAGTCTAGAATAGTTTTATGACTTTCGTTCTTGTTCTTGTATTAATCACTGCTCCGACTTACCGTTCGGGAACTTTCCTGTGCAACCAGCGAATTGTTTAATACAAGTCGGTTTTGAGCATAATACATTCAACTTTTATATTTTCTTTGATCTTTAACCTATTTTCCACATCCTTAATATCCAAAGCGTGTGTTGGGCTTTCGGATCTGCGGGACTAAACCTCAACATTG